ATCCCTGGTGATGCTCTGCCAGGCCTCTACTGCAACTGTCTTCAGTTCCTGCTTGTTCTTGGGGCATTTTCCCTTCAGTTTTGTCTTCATCAAATGAAATGCATGCTCAATCGGATACAGGTCAGGTGATTGACTTGGCCATTGCATAACATTCCACTTCTTTCCCTTAAAAAAACTCTTTGGTTGCTTTTGCAGTATGCTTCGGGTCATTGTCCATCTGGACTGTGAAGCGCCATCCAATGAGTTCTGGAGCATTTGGCTGAATATGAGCAGATAATATTGTCCAAAACACTTCAGAATTCATCCTGCTGCTTTTGTCAGCAGTCACATCATCAATAAATACAAGAGAACCAGTTCCATTGGCATCCATACATGCTCACACCATGACACTACCACCACGCTTCACTGATGAGGTGGTATGCTTTGTATCATGAGCAGTTCCTTCCCATCACTCTGGTACAAGTTGATCTTGGTCTCATCTGTCCATAGGATGTTGTTCCAGAACTGTGAAGGCTTTTTTAAATGTTGTTTGGCAAACTATAATCTGGCCTTCCTGTTTTTGAGGCTCACCAATGGTTTACGTCTTGTGGTGAACCCTCTGTATTCACTCTGGTGAAGTCTTCTCTTGATTGTTGACTTTGACACACATACACCTACCTCCTGGAGAGTGTTCTTGATCTGGCCAACTGTTGTGAAGGGTGTTTTCTTCACCAGGGAAAGAATTCTTTGGTCATCCACCACAGTTGTTTTCCGTGGTCTTCTGGGTCTTTTGTTGTTGCTGAGCTCTGTGCGTTCTTTCTTTTTAAGGTGGTTCCAAACAGTTAATTTGGCCACACCTAATGTTTTTGCTATCTCTCTGATGGGTTTGTTTTGTTTTTTCAGCCTAATGCAAATAGCACACTTGAAATGAACTCTGGACCTTTTATCTGTTCCTTGTAAATGGGATAATGAGGGAATAACACACACCTGGCCATGGAACAGCTGAGCAGCCAATTGTCCCATTACTTTTAGTCCCTTGAAAAGTGGGAGGCACATATACAAACTGTTGTAATTCCTACACCGTTCACCTGATTTGGATGTAAATACCCTCAAATTAAAGCTGAAAGTCAGCAGTTAAAGCAAATCTTGTTCATTTCATTTCAGTTCCATTGTGGTGGTGTATAAAGCCAAAAAGATTAGAATTGTGTCGATGTCCCAATATTTATGGACCTGACTGTATTTATCTTTATACCTGGGATCTTGCAGTCGATATTCATCTGCAACTTCTGGGTTCCGTTTAGAATGTCTCTTTATGAATATACTGCTTTCAGTGTATCCTGCTCAGTATATTTACCCCTTCATTCCGATATGCAAAAGTTGAAGAGGTACTTGCTGAGCACCCCCTGATAATAGCAAATTTTGGATTGCCCAATTTAGATAATATTCTTGCTTATATTCTCTCGTGTTACCAGAGACCCCAGAGAAGTCTACTCAGCTTCTATGTAGGGAGGATGTATTTTCCCTGTTCAGCCTACCCGCATATTGTTCATTTTTTTAGGGGGGGATTGTTTTTGGGGTTTTTAGCACTCTTCCTGCTTTTCTTTTGGTAGAGTAGGAAGCTCTGATATTCTTTCCAAGCTAGTCCACTGGTTTCCAGTCTTTGACCAGGAGGGAGCACTTCCACAGAACTGTTCGGCACAGATGAGCAGCCTCTGGTAATGTTGAGGGACAACATTAGTAAGCTATTGATTGTACTGTTTGTGGAACAGTGTGTTATGGTCACTGACAGTTCAGATTTTTCCTTTTGTTCATATTAATATATTTTCGTTATTTAGTGAATGACACATGGGAGTACTCCATATTCCTAAGAAACCTTTACATTGGTCTTTTTATGTAAAATTTGAGTAGGAAGCCAATAAGAACATATTAAACAAAAAATAAATTCAATGACATAAAATCTACCTGATCTGTTAACATAAATTAGGTGTCTGGAACTGTGAAATTTCTGCTAATGTCGGCTGAGTCCCCCTGGGATTTTCAGGAGAAGAGATCAGATTACTGTATTAGAATTAATAATTTAGACGGTTAACTGAAAATTCCCCTCCTACTTTGTTAGCTAATTGCAGTCATAGATGTCATAGATGTCATCTAAATCATCTGCTATAGAAATGTATTATTAACTATTTAGGAGCTGTGGTTGCCATTTTGAGTTGAATAGATTATAGTACTATTTTCTTATATAGTTCAAAAACAAAATCAGGTCATGTTTTTGTTCTAATTAAAAAAAATAAAATTATATATTAGAAATTAGATATTTTCTTAAAGAGTTATACCAAACATCATAACCATTACAGCCTGCTCTAGTTTTTATGATGCCTGGTGTATCCTGGCTCGGTTCCTAGTAATGGGGCAAACTGTTTTGTAACAGTTTGCCATCTTATCAAACTCCCCACTGAGTTTTCTCTTGAGAGATATGCTTCTGGCTTCTGCAGAGCTGTAGAAGCTGAAAGCTGATCCAGTCGCCATTCAATTGACTCTTCTCAGCCAATGAAAGGAACACCATGCAAAAACAAAAGAAATTACATTAGCCAGCCCAGAATTGTTGTTTGCCCAGAGGATCATATCCTAATTTTGTATTGTATTATTTTAATCTAATATTTCTAAAAGAATAAATAAATGATTGCACCAAGGAATACTGGCTGAAAAATCCGGCCGAATCCGGGGCCGTTTGAATGGCGCCCTTGGTACGCAGGTACTGTAGTTCCAAATCTATCAGGTGTGCGTCCGTTACGTGGAGCAGGCGCGGTGATTGAACCGGGATTGTAGGTTTCAGAAATATTGCGTGCGATCTGAACAGTAGTTAGTGGGAGTGTAAAATGGTGACTTACCATTGGTGAATCTCGATGGGGAGTGTTCTCTGCCTCCTCGATCGTGGTCAAATACTCTGGAGTAGTGACTGCAGATGGCAAATGAGGCTGCTAGAAGCTCCAAGCAATTTATGTGCAAAGACAGTTCTTCAGAGGTCCAGACGCCTCCCATGGAGATGTTGCAGTCCGTCGCTCGCCAACCTGACCTACTGGCATCAGATTCCAATAAAAAGTCCGGCTGGCTTCCAAATTTGGCTCGGCGGTTCCAGGTCTGCATGCAGTTTAGCCACCACTGGGGTTCCGCCTAAACGTTGTCCGACATCGGGACTGGTTGATCGCAGGTTAGATTCCGTCTTAGGAATTTGGTCTTGAAGCATTGCATAGCCCTGTAGTATAGGGGGCACGGGAATATTTCAGGGATGGAGGAGGACAGAAGACCTACTATGCGTGCCAGTAGACGAAGAGGTATGGATGGCAAGCAGAGAACCTTCTGGATTTCTCTGTGGATGGAGGCTAATGCAGCTGGAAGATGTAGAGTACAAGACCTGGAGTCGATTTTGAAGCCCAGAAATTAGACTGATTGTGCTGGGTCCAGCGATTGATCACGAAGCCCAGTGAATCCAGCAGACGTAATGTATAATCAGTGTTTCTTCGTAGTGTTCTATTGTCTTTATTGAAGATCAGGATGTCATCCAGATATATGATACAATGTATGCCACGGCCTGAAGGTGTGCCACCACAGGCTTCAGCATTTTTGGGAAGCACCCAGGGGCCGAGCTGTGGCCGAAAGGGAGGCAAGTGAATTGCCAAGCTGTTCCGTGACCAGGAAGATATTGCTGAATAATCCAGCTGAATCCGGAGCCAGTTGAATGGCGCCCTTGGTACGCAGGTCCTGTAATTCCAAATCTATCAGGCATGCATCCGTTTCGTGGAGCAGGCGAGGTGGTAGTCGTTGAACCAGGATTGTCTCGAATTCTATGCAGTACCCTCTTACGGTTTGTAGGATCCAGAAATACGGCCTGCGATCTGAACAGTAGTTAGTGTAAAATGGTGGCTTACCATTGGTGAATCTCACTCAGGATTGTTCTCTGCCTCCTCGACCGTGGTCTAAACCCCTGGAGTAGTGGAACCTTTAGCGATAAGCCATCTCCAGGTAGAAATGCTGTGTCCTGGTAGTGTAGGGGCTCGATGGCCAGAAGCTGCTGGTGGCATGGCCCCTGTGCCAAACAGCCCTGCCAAAAACACCTCTGGTGTTAGTGTCATGAAACACTTTCCGAATAGATGATTGAGCCTTGTTGAGGGAGGTGAAAATATCGACCCTTTTGTTAAGCTCTTTTTGAGCCTCTCCAAATAGTTTTTATCCCCCAATTCCACGAGCTTCTCATTTATACAGAACAGTGCTACTCAGCGTCTCTCAGATGAGAGAGACACATTTGTGTTCCCTAGGAAGCAGAAGCACCGTTGTGCCCTCTCCCTAATATCATGTGTCCATTCATGCACCGCATCGGAGTTAAAGCTATCTGCTCGTGCATAGGCATCGTCAGGCAAATCCATCACTCTTGCCAGAAGGCCAATAGCATCAAGGTGTTTAACCTGAGCCCCTTAGAATCCGCGCTTCACCCCGTTACATGGGTCCCGACCCCCACGGGCCATGAAAGTCAGCATAAGCTGATCGAAGTCAGGGGTATAAGTCACCTTGTCAGGTAGGATGGGGCGAGGACACTCGGACTTCATACGCTTCTGTGCCTCTTTGTCCAGGGGTCTTCAGAGCCAGAAACGCATAAACTTTGGAAGATGCTCCAGGGGTGCCCATTCCTCAGAGCGGGGGTGGAATATGTTCCTGGGGTTGAACATCTGGAGGCCAGAGGCATCCAACAAGACCTCAGAGTCCCCGTGTGGGGCTGGAGCATCATCGGTCGCTGCATTTGAACTCTGGGGCTCACCAAGGTATGTATCCCCTGTGAAGATCGGGTCAGATTTGGGAGTCCCAGTCATCCTCATCCAGTTCGGAGTCCTCCGCCTGACATTCATCCAGCACAGAGCGTGCAGGTATGTTGACCGTACAGGTCACGGTTTACTTGAATTGGCAGGGGCTTTGCCATTGGATTTCTTGGTCTTGGTGTTTTCACCCTTCCAGTGGCGCTTAGGGGTCACGACTGTTCCATGGAGGAGTCTGAGTCCTCAGAGTCTGCCCCATAATGGGTCCTTTCAGACGTGGGTTTGGCAGCATCATGTTGCGTTGGGAACATTTTGGAGAAGACCTCCATAGAAGCAGCTTCCGCTGCAGCAATCATGGCTTGCAAATCCGATGGGGCCTGTGATTCTTCCATGGTCACTGATAAAATAAAACGGGACTCACCCGAGGGCACTAGAGACAATTTAGGTCTGGTGAAAATTTCCCCCTTGGTGAGTGTGCCATGGACTGTCAAGGGTTGCGGAGATGAGTAATATGCTTGCCAGTATTGTACAACTTGCAATTTGAAGCCCTGAGTATATAACATACAGAATTCAGCGCATCAAATAAACACCAGCTTCAAAGCTCACACATGAGTTGGGCAAATATTATGGGGATTTAGATAAAGTAAAAAATCATCAATTGCATAAACCTGGCACTGTGCCAATGTACCCCAAATATACATGTCACCGATGAGCAAAAGGGAAAGTCTGGCGGTACATGGTGGCTGTCTTAAAGAGAGAGATGCTCTGGCTTTAGAGAAAAACCTCCCTCCTTCCTCTTAATCTTTGTATTCTCTCTTTTTCTGCAGAGTAGAAAAAAAATCAATAGAGCAGACTCTTCACTATTCTGTCTGAAGATGCTGGGCAGGTGTAATTAATCTCCAAACATCAGATTAGACATGTCTGCAGCACGGCAGGAGGAGGGACGGCAGATACAGAATGGCTCTATGCAGCATAGTGGTCAAGGAGAGGTCAGGGCTAATGACAGCATTGGCCAGCACAAAATATAATCTGGTTGTGGTGTCAGTTCTCCTGGAGAGTTACATCCTGTTTTTTATACGGAATAATTGGCATGCATACTGAGCATGAAGTGATAGCAAATAGGTATTTAGATTTAAACTGTAACATTTAATAATAAATTTGGTTTATTATTATTTATAAATTGATGCCTTCCCATTAATATTAGATGTATTTTGTGTTAGGACCATACAATATCTGACATCAATATGGATAGCGCTGCTTAAAAAAATGGTGAAAAGCATAATTTATTTAGATATATACAGATATGCTCAAATTGAGTTATTTAGAAAATCAGGCCTTAAAAATTGTTGCTGCTTAAAGGGTCACTAATGTGCCATCATGATTTTTGCTCTTCGCAACTTGCAAACCTTACTGCAGTGTACGTCTATTCTTTATTGAAATGTGTCACAACAATTTTTGGAAGATGTCAGTTTATATATGAAAGAAAGCTGTCAACTGAACTACAACTCCCAAATTCCCTGCTGAGCCTTAGAAGCACTGCACTGCAGAAATATCTAAACTTAGCATCGGCACTGCCATAATATGTTATAGTTATTATAGCATCACAATTGAGTCCCTTTTATATTTTTAGCAATTGTGGTTGTCAGCCAAAACCAGTAGTTTATAGGCCTTCGGTCAGGACTCAGTAATAATGGGTCCCGATGTCTTGCCTCGCATGCACATTAGCTTCCCCTCTCGCGATGAAGTTGGAGGAGGCGGGACAAAGCCTGTGCTGAAGGACATTATTGTTGGAATCAGTTATGTGTTTAAATGGTTTTTCACCCTTTATTGCTAGGGTAGGGTGGCACAGAGGCACACTATAGTGTTAGGAAACAGCTTTCTGTTCCTTTAAGGTGTATTGTTATTTAAATTTAATTTGAAGAATAATTCCCTAAGGAAATTTCAGAGGTTACGAATGGGTTGCAAAAGTGCATTGTTAATATTGAAAAGCAAATAGGTTAAGAAGCACTGTCTTAACCGTACAGTAGGTGTCAAGGATAAATCATCCTTGAATTGATTTGGGTTCCCCTGAACATAATTAAAGTGCCTGGAGAAGCAGTAAGACACGCGACACATGGTGATAGTTGTGAATCCAGAAGAATTGCTTCTAGCTTTAATTGGGGACGATTCGTTTTATACAGTGGGGGATACGTGCTTACATGCAAAACATATTTACTGTTTTTTTAAATAGCCATAGGAAAGGAATGTAAGAAGAGACATTTCTAAAGTCAAAAGATAAGCAGTTTACAGAAGTACTCCGGTGGGGGCTTGTTGTTGTAAGAAAGAGAACATAATGTAGGACAAAGTTCATTTAAGCATAAAGCATTACATGAGTCCAAGTTAGCCAATTTTAATATAGGCTAGCCATTTATGGCACCTACAAGCTTAAGCCTTGGAATCAAGGTGCATTCCTTCACAGAGGTTATTAACTGAACAGAGAAGGTTGGTGAAATGAAAAATGAATTGGAAGAGTCATACCATTTTAGCTGTGTTGATAGTTATAACAGTTCTCTAACACACTACATTGGCAGCAGAGGGGCAAGCCAATTAACATGGAGTTGGGATCATGAGACATTGTTAGATATGGGCAGATCCTGGAGCAGTTCCATAAGTGACAGCTGCAGAATTCAGTGAGTGGCTGGGTGTTGGGATGAGGAAAAGTTTAAAATTATAGTAAGATTGACATTCTGAGCAGTCCTAATTATTCTGGATCTGTAACCTTTGATACATCACACCCCATCTCTACTTTGAACTAAACTTGGTAACACTTAGGGATGTGCATGATCAAAAAATTTGGTTCGGTTCAGAAATTCGGGTAAGAATTTTTTTTTGGCAATTCAGCAATTCAGCACTTCAGTTCGGTTCGGCACTTCCAAAATTCGGGACTTCGGAATATCTGTAGCACTCCATAACCCTAACCCATAACCCTACCCCTAGCCCTAACCTAACCCTACCCCTAACCCTACCTCTAACCTTACCCTAACTCTACCCCTAACCCAACCGTAACCCTACCCTAACCCAACCCTTACCCTACCCTAACCCTACCCTTACCCTAATTCTACCCCTGTCATCATTTACGTAATTTTCCCTCCCTCTCCTTGTTGCCACTTTTCAGAAATACGAAGCACTTAGGCACTTTTGCAATTCGGCACTTCTGCAAGTCGGCATTTTGGCAATTCAGTTCGGTTCTGCACTTCAAATGTCCGAATTGCCTGAAATTCGTCCGAATTCACATTCGGAACAAAACGAATTGCACATGTCTAGTATCACTGTATGTAGCCATTTTTCACCCTTGTTCTACCACTTTGACTATTCCTAATCATCCTTACCACCAATTCATCTCCCTGTAAATGTGCCATAAGTGTCAATACCTGCTCCTACTTTCTACACTATTGTATTTATGGCTTTATGTGTCACGCTGCTTCAACATCCATTTCATTACAAATGGCATGCAGATTGTCCCCTCTGTGCAGTAATTTAGGCCCATTATAACATCTAGCAGTGTGCAAAGAGCTTATCATTGCTTTTCAACAATGATTTGAATTGCACCCCGTTTCTGCCCCCTAATTGGGGGATATGCAACAATATTGAGACTGTATCATGTGAATCACACAAGTTTACACATGGCAATGTAAAACAAAATTGTTTTTGCATATATAAACTATTCACCAAGTTCCCTCATCGAGCATTTTCAGTTAGGTTCCAATTATTTTAGTTTTACTCAGAGAATGTAATGATCATTCTGTTCTGAGATGCATGTAAACCTTTCATTAATTGTTTCAATGACCAATATTTTGGCATCCAAGTGCATTACAAGTAGAAAAAAATACACAGAAAAAATAAAGCAGGTCAACCCCTCAACATGCATGAGATTTCAGTGCATATAAAAAATAGTTTCCATGGAAACTAAATCCTAGAGTTCATCTGTTTTTGCAAGTAATATACATCAAACACAAAACAACTGTATTAGTGATATTGCTATTAATTTTTTTAATATTATACATTGCTAAGTAATTGCAAAAAAAAAAAAGACTATAAAATATTTCCAGGAAACATTTGATAGGAATGGATTTGATAAAATGTATCTCCAGAGTATTCAGTGTGATATGAGAATATTCCGAGTGATAGGAAAGAAGAATTTTAAATGGTATGGCTTTTCAAAAATTCCTTTTATTTTAAAGCAAAGAATATTTTAAGGTATATGCATAATTCCCAGAGTCCTAAGGATTTAAAGATGGTCTCTACAGATTATAAAGCAGTTTGCATTATCATATTTCAAACCAGTGAATGTATTAATACAGCTTATTGCTGCTCCCTATATTTTACTCATGGTCAAAGCAGAAAATGATGCTTTGGATTCAGTGACTCTCATAATTCATGCCTATTTTTCTTCTGTTTGTACCTGTTGGATTTAATGCTTTAAATCACACTGTATTTAGCACAATTAGGGGTAGAGGTGCAATTCTAACATTTAAAAAGTGATGCAGTCGGCAGGAGCAATCCATTTGTTTCCATGGCATTGATTCCGTTTTAGAACTTTGTCCTAGAATTGCTATGCATGCATAGCTCATCAACATTAATTATACTCGTTACCCTTTGTTGATAATAAATATAAATGTTCTAACTTTCCTGATAGGTCCTTTTCAAAATCATATATATGGGGATATTATTTTTTATATCTTAATGCATGGCTAATGTCCTATCCACATATTTTGATCATCATTCCTCTTTTATTCAAAATAAAGGAATTCATATTACAAGAGAATTGCACCCTCTCTTTTTCTCTGTCTAAAAAGCAATTGAAAGCTTGCTTTTCCAAGAAATTCTTAAATATATACTAACATGAATTGAATATGCTGCATTCGAAAAGTACTTTCTTATCGTAGTGTTTTGTAGTACATCTCTTGTACATAACTGCAATTGCAAACATACACTTCTTGACTTCTTTGGTGCTGTTTAAGCTAAAAGATATGTGTAGTCAAGGTCAATTACAAGTTCAGCTTTACAACGGCAGATAACATTAACGTGATTAAACTCTAAAAATTTATTCTACTTGACAAATACAGTACATATAGCCAAAGTGTGTGTGTGTGTGTGTGTGGTTGGGGGGGAATTTCAATACAAAGTATGCCTTAGAAATGTAGCTGTGTAATAACCAAGTTTCCCAAACATCCGAAATAAAAATGTATAAATCCGAACGCTTATTCAGGGATGTCCGTTAACTACCTTATAAGCTTAAACTTCAAAATATATAAATGGAGTTTCTTGCCAAAAAGAATATAAAATGCTGGCGATTGTGTACTATTAGTAGAAAAAGTATTATGTCACATGATATTACTTTTTTTTTTTCTCT